GATCAGAATTGGGTCGACCTGAAATTGACACGAAAAACACATGTCAATTTTGGGTTGGATCCGTCTAACCCGAACACGACACGAAACTCGTGAAAAACTAAAAAATACATATATTTTTCATTTCATATTTTAAATTTTATTATGAACTTGTGATATCATGATAGTTATACTCAAAATCTTATACTATTATTTGCTTAATTTCAATGGATGTTTTGTAATTTAGTGTGTTATAAATTTTAAATTATTTTTAATATGTAAAAAACTAAATAAAAGTATACAATTTTCATGTCAATTTTGGGTTAACGGGTCAATTTCATGTCACGGGTCATTTTCGGGTCGTGTCGTGTCAATTCGTAAAGTGGTCGTGTCGTGTTCGTGTTGCGGTTTTTAAAAAATTTCGTGTCATGAGTCGTGTTCGGGTTGACTGTAAATTTAGAAAGAAACGATCAAAACACGACACGAACACGACACGTGACATGAATTGCCACCCCTACTCAATATGTCAAAGAACATAATATCATAAATAGGAGTCTATTAATTACTCATAATTAAGATTAATTCATATATGATCATCATTGATTAATATTGAATGCTCTATTTAATAACAGAATTTATTAAAGATTCATAATTAATTCCGTTCCGGTCCTATGTAATCATATTGCATAAAGTGTTTTCATTTCAATAATCTCATTATTAATAATCTAAGATAAGATTGTTTCATTTAGAATGTAATTAACCACACTTGTAATTTTAAATTAAACATCCCAACTTTAATTTATAATTACAGATATTTTACTTTAAACATTATCCTCTGCATATAACACTTATATGCAATGTTTAAAGTTACATCTAAAGTAATCTAGGGATTTTTAATATTTATAAAACATCACATGCATACAAAATACTATTGAAAAATTCCTCATTTCATTAATAATCAGCAAAAATATTTACATCTTATTTGATTTATGAGCATATATCCCAACACAATATTGTCCATTTTGCATAAGTTGTTTAAATTATATAAAGGGATAATTATGATTAAGAATGTCATTAATAGAAATGTGATAAAGATCTTTAGACTAAAACCACACATATTACCACTTTTTACCAAAAATTTTAAAATTAGTTTGTATCGAGATTCTCTTTCGTAGTTTGTTTTGAATGATGTAGATGCATTTTATGTAGAACATTGGCATCCGCTCAATTACCCTTTTTTGTTCAATATTCTTCATATAATGAATAGAATATTCATCATCTTTTATAACTTGTTAAAATTGTTACACTCTCTTTTTACAACTCTCTTAATCTTTGTAAGTCATTAATAAAGCATGACGATCAATTAGAACTTATTTATTTGTATTATAAAATTATTTCTCTAATATATAATAAATATCATAGTTAAATTCATGCCCTATTACAGCTGGTATGTGCGATGCACGTGCTTTTATTTATTAATACTACTATAGATGGACACATAGTGATCTAATGTAGGGTTAGCTCTTTTATGACCTCCATCAGTAATTACTAGACTCTCCCTATTAGTGCTTGATAATTCATAGAAAAATAAAAGGAATTGGAAAGAGATAAAAGAATTGAGATTTCATTCTTGAAGTGTCAACAAATTCCAAAGAAGTTCAAAGAGGCTCACTCCCTACTGGATTTATGGAGAATAACGATATCAAGAAAGATTTAGGTTATCGATCGCTCAATTATCCAAAATTATTGTTTGCCAAATAGGTAAAAATTATGTCATGATAAAGGGATAAACTCATTTCGGTACTTTTTATTATAGTGAAACATCTCGTTAGTACCTTGTACTTTTAATAACATGAAAATAGTATCTTCACCTTTATAGAAACGTTATTACGGTACCCTGAAATCGATTTTTAGATATAAAATGCCCATTATACCCTTCTCACTAATTAACAACAAGCTAATAATTTTTAAAAAAATTCTGAAAATACTTTCAAATACTTATAAATTGAAAATTAAAATAAGTTAAAAAGTTTTCTTAAATATTTTAAAAGTTATTGATTTTTATTTTATTAATGTAAAGGGTAGTTTGGACATTATATGTCTCAAAAATTAGTATCAGGGTACCGAAAGAACTGTTTTTAAGGTGAAGATACCGTTTTAGTATTATTAAAAATACATAGTGCTAACGAGATGTTTCACTATAATAGAGGGTACTAAAATGATTTTATTGCTACGATAAATTATGTCATAATATGCAAACAATTTGTAACAAAAAATCAATCATTTTGTATGTGAAAATTTTTAATCAGTCTGTTGCTTTTACCTTTTTTTTTGCATTAAAACCAACAACAGTCAGGGTTAAGGATTGATAGTAGAGGATAAGGTTGGCGTCAAGGTCTAGATAGGGAGATGAGGTTGGGGTTAGGGTACATACTAATATGGATGAGGTCAAGATTAGAACGAGAGCCCCAACCAAATCCAACACCAATCGTGATCTTAATTTTAGAACCCAAGAATTTTTCATTAAAAAAAAACCGTTTCTTTTCATTGTTTTAACATGCAATAAAATTAAGAATAAATTAAAAGAAAAACAAAAAATAATATTACTAAAAGTATTTTCTAAAAATAAAACAAAAACTCACATTTTTTTAAAACCGAAAAAATAAAATGTGCTTTAAAGAGTGATTTAGAACGAGGAGTAAACTACATAATAATCTTAATGTTTTTCATCTATATAATGAAAGGATTTTTCTTTTGTTCACAAATAAAATGTAATACAACTTCTCATATTTAATATAGAATATGTAATTAACGTTGACAAGTTTTTTAGATTGCAGATAAAATTTAATACAACTCTCAACAAATGAACTATTACAAGATAGAAAAAGTTTTTGAGTATTTTATATGAATTAAACTCAATGGGCGCGTTTGGAACTCGTTTTAAAATGATTTTCTTTTTTGTATGAAAATGAAAATGAAAACGTTTTCAATCTTAGACATAAATCATTTTTTAAAATGCGTTTGGTAGTTTTATCAAGAAATTATTTTCAGTATAAAAAATCCATTAATGTCTTTCTCTCTCTGCTCAAGAGAGGAGAAAACGAAAATAAAAAATGAAAAACGACTAAAAGTCATTTTTCATTTATCTCTCATTTTACACTAAATTAAAAAATCATTTTCATTTCTGTTTTTTATCTTTATTGCGCCAAATGCTGTTTTAAAAACGTTTTTATTTTTTCTTTCTCTAAAAACGTAAAAAATAAAAACGTGATCAATTCTAAACATGATTTTACACTAAACTAAAAAATTATTTTCATTTCTATTTTTTATCTTTATTGCGCCAAATGCTATTTTAAAAACGTTTTAATTTTTTCTTTCTCTAAAAATGTGAAAAATAAAAACGTGATCAATTCTAAACACGGCTAATATTTTAACATATGAGCTTGACTTTGCCAACGAATACTTTTCCTCCAATACTGATGGGTTATTTTAATTTTTCTTAACATATTAATTATACTTTTTCGTAACATATTATTTTAATTGTTCCAACTTTTTGGAAAAAAATGTATATATATTATTATTTTCTTAATATATTAATTAAATTGTTCCAATTACTTAAGTTAAGTTGAAAAAAAAATACTAGTAATAACACCAACAAATTAACTGACTGTTAGAGAATGAGAATTAGTTACAGAACTTCTTATGTGAGCTTAGTTAGACTTGCATAGGTGTCGTTAAGTCATTGGTTCTAGCTTAGAATTAGTCAGCAGCTTAAATGTATTAAAAGCTATGTACAGTATTAATCAGTAATAATGAAAAATACAAAAATTCATTTCCTATTCTCTCTCTTCTTTACTCGAACAACCGATAAAAAAAAGGCCCTATGCAGTGATTTTACCCCAAAATTCAATCTCTCATATCTCCCCCAGTCTCTCTCCTCCAACGGCTACATTTCCCCTTTCTCCTTTGTCTTCTCCCCCATTTTCAATCCAAAACCCTCTCAATCTCTCTCTCCTCCATTTCTTCTCTCTTTCTCTCTCTAGATTTCGTAGCCATCAAGCACTTCATGCAGCCAAGAAACGCGGTCTTGAGGAATAGAGTCTCCGGCCTCGCGCAACCCTTGCGCAGCCAAGCCCCAAAATCTCAGATTCTGCGAGGGCAAAGTAGGAGCGAACTTTACAATTTCTTTGAAAATGCTCAGAGGAAGATAAAGCTTGACCCGATTGGTCGGCAAATGTTGGCGATTTCTTCCCAACCGCGAAAATCTTCTATCTTCTTCTCCGATCCAGGCGTTCTCGCTTTCTCTCTCTTCGATTTCCGTTTGTCGTTCGAAAAATTTCCGTCGAAATCATTGTGGAGACTAGATTTTTATTGCAATGAGAGCAATTTCTTTTTTGGTTTTTGGTTGCAGAGTTCGTTGAATCTGTGTACTGATAAAGATGGCGAAATCGTGTCGACGAAGAGTTTGGAAGGATTCTGATGTCTGAGGGAATAACTTCACAATCAATTCTCATCTAGATATATTTACTCTTTCCTCAGATTCTAAGGGTGTTTTTTCATTTCATATATGGAAAATAGGAAGAATTATTTGTTCTACTAAGTGCAATTATTTGCTTATTGTTTTAGTGATTATTGGATTTTGAGGATAGTAACAAAAATCTGCTTTGTTCTTTGATGTTTATCGCAATGTTATCAAAAACGTATATCTTCTGCCAAGATTTTCAACAAGAATTACGGGAAAGTTTTTTAACATGATTTGTGAGTGTTACATCTTTTCCTGCTGAGTGTTTTATGCTCAAGGCTAATTGGAGATCTGTATGTCTTGCACTGTAGCAACAGGTCATATACGTTCCTTTGACTTTTACTTAAGAAGAGTACAAAAGTCCATAATGTTCTCGTTTTGGTAAGATGAATATTCCATATTATCTATCAATAAGTATCTAGGACTTCTAGCTTAAAGACTAAGGGCATGAATTCGATTCAATTTTAAGCATTAAAATACCTATGATGGACAGGGCATTTTGGGTGGATCTTTCTAGATTTGTTTGCATCCCTAGTTTATGCTCCAATAGGAATGAATTGGCTTCTGATGACTACATAGTAAGAGATCTACTGTGCGGACAGATACGGATCAAACATCTAAGCAATGGTGATGCTGTAAGGTTTCATTCTCCATTTGTAAGGTTTATATTATCTATTAAATATATTAAATATTAGTATATATTAGTATTTCTACTCCCTATTAGATCTATTCCTTATTGGTATCTTAGTATATACATAATATGCTCTTATATTCTATATTCTTTATATTGTATATTCTCAATACTCACTCAAGTAGAATTTTATTCTATTTTATTGGAATTGTATAATATATCTTTATAACAGGTTAAAATGTTAATAAAACAACAAATATAACAATAAATAACACGTACAAATATTGTTGTAGGATAAGTTTGAACAGAATGAGCCTGATCGAGAAAAAGAAGCCAAGATATTAGATTCCATTGAACATCTGTTCAACAAGCAAGGAAAGATTGGTGTCGGCCGCACAAATATTTCATAAAAAAGTGTGGAGAAAAGGATCCAGAGGAAGTAAAAAAACACAAACACAAACAGGTGCTGGTGCAGGCAGATTGGGATTCGTTATGCGATTATTGGACGATTGAATGGTATAAGGTAGCTTATGTAAATACCTTCAGAGCATTCATACATTTTTTTATGTGATTTATAGGTTATGTGACAACTCCTTTTTAACTTTGCAGAAAAAATCAGCAACCAATGCTTTGAATCAGCATTCAAGGAGCTAAATCATTTGCTTCTTACTTGTTTGATAAGGTATTTCATTTTGATCTGCTATGGTTGTGTTTCAATTTATATCATCAGCAGAAAAGCAGAGCTCCCCATGGTTTCTGTGATTTCTTGTCCTTTTGAGTTGCTCTTTCACTTTAGTTTGTTTCAAATATTCAACCAAGTTGATTTCACACATGATGTGTATATGAGAAGTTATAAATCACATACTAATCTATATACATACGTACCTCCACTTTAGTTTATAGAGAATAAAGCATAAAAGCACTTTTGATGATCCTTTAGGTTGTTGTTATGATATGCTAATGCCATTTAGTCACATGCATATTCTTTTGACTCTTATTTGGCCTTAACAAAAGAAATATGCATGAAATTGAGATTTTCCAGTGGACAAAATCTTGTGACCGTGCTTTGTGATTGGAGTTTACCAACATTTTGGACCCATATTTATGATTTTCTCCTCTTCATTTAGTAATAAAAAATGGGTTGGTATGACGGAATTTTGTGATTGGAATGAGTAGATTGGTATCATATTTTTATGTTTAATGCAATTATTTACCTTGTCCAATATGAATAAAAGGAATTTAATTAAATGCAGTACTGTAAAGCAAAGTAGACATCTTTATCTAAGAATCATACATTTTAATGCTTGGGGTAAAACTCATTCTCTGCTGCATTCTTTGGGACAGTGGCGCTCCTTGAGAAAAGGAAGTATTTCGCTTTCATGACTCTGAATTATTGGAGATAACACATATCACTACCTCTAATATTAAGATTGTGTTGTTTTGCAGCAAAAAGCAAAGGAGGTTGATAATTCTAGTGGATTAATTGAGCTCTATCATGATATGTGCCATCACAAGACTAAGGGTTGATCTTGGCCAGTATCAGAGAAAAACTATTATGCAAGTTTTTATTTATTTATTTGTTTTTGCGTTTCTTCATAATTCGGTATTCATTAGTTTTTGTTTTCACTTGTTCATTTTAAATTGACAGCACAACATGATAGATTTGCAAACTCAAACTTGCCATTCAAGTGATGCAGCTGAGGGAAATACCTCTACATAGCTCTCATTAATGACATAAAAAGATAAAATGAATAATTTCCTTGGCACATGATCCGGATACATATGGGGGAGCAGGCCAAGCACCAAGAGGGGGTTTGAGAAGGAGGAGAACATAAATGGTTATTTCTCTACTCAAAGTCAGGAACAAATGCTTGAGACCTTCAAGACTCCGCAGATGCAGATCACTAACCTTAAGAACTTGGATGCACGTTGACAAATGGAGTTTGACTCATCTCCTTCAGAATAGTGTGTTTATCTATCTTTTACTCTTATTTTAGAACTTTCAGGTTTCTAGTACTTGATTTTAGAGGATGTTTATCTATCCTTATGGATGCGTTTGTCATGATTTTAGAGGAACTAATATTATGTTTACATTTTAGATATCTTCTATCTTTGTTTGCCCCAATATTAAATGCCTCTCATGCTCTTCTTTTGGTGAGTCGCTGCCTTATCTATCTCATAATTCTTTTTGTGTATCTTTTTTATTATTGGGTTTATTTTTTTGGTTTTGGCCGCTGATTAGGCTGAGTCATGAACATTCCTTGGCTCCTTCTACAGCATCTGAGGGTCCGTTCAGCCATGGTGAGTTTCTCTCTCTCTCTCTCTCTCTCCCCGTTAATTTATCAATTCAGAGATCTTACTCGGTTAACCTTTAAATTATGCGAGTTTTTTTCCTGCCGCAATCTTACTATTTAGCAACTTAATATTGAAGGGAACGTTGCACTAAAGATGGTAATAATGGTTATTGTTATTTTATGATAAATCTCAGTTCTTTTTAGTTACTGTTTGAGAACTAGGTTCATTCCTTTTGTGCTCTTTTTTTTTTTTTTCTTTTTGGTTTTTGTTTTTTCTCTTTCCTTTTTAACTTCGTCTATTTTTCTCCCTTCTTTTCTCCTCTAGCTTTTTCCTCTGCCTTTTGTTTCTGCTCTCACTCTATATTCGGATGAACAAGAAACATCAATTCGGGATGTAAGAGAGACCATCATCAGTGTGGATGTGATTCTTTGCCAAAAAATTGTTGTTCTTTCCACACAAAAAAAAAAATTCTTGTTTTTGGGGATTTTTTATTTTTACTAATTTGTAACTCCTTTTCCCTTTGATGTAGGTCAAAAAAAAAAAGAAAAAGAAATTGACATGAGGAGAAGAAGAGGGCAATAATCTCACACTCATCACCCAACTTCTATTTTAATGGTTTTCGGTTAAGACTGAAACCAAACAATACAAATTTTTTGTTGCTCAATCCTGCCAGATAACATGGGTATTTCCCTTGCATTGTAATCTTCCTTACTCTTGATGAATTGTTTAGTGTGTTTATTGGGTTGGATGAGGTTTTATTTTTTTTGGAGTTGGGTTTTTCATGATTGTTCTGATAATTCAATTGAATTTGACGTTTGTCTGCTTTTAGGGACATTGTTTGGTTTTCACCCATAACGTTCATGTTCTCGAAGGGAGGGTGGCTGTTTAGGAACCCAAACAAATGCCTACTCTTTTTCTATCTTGTTTACTAGCTATCAGTAACACCTTCTGTCCACCAAAAGAAAAGCTAGCTCTGATGAACACAAGGCTTTAATGATTAACATTCATATAACAAAAATATTATTGGTTCAAGGATTGGAAATGCTTCTAGCCCATGGATATTAGTGAAAAGTTATAAACAGTGTTGGATAAATGCCTGACTTTATGAGAAGTAGGACTGATTAAAGGATTCTCCTTTACTTGGAATATCATCAATTCGATGGATGTAATTAGTGATAAATAGTGTTAGATAAATGCCCGACTTTATGAGAAGTAGGCCTAGCTAAATGATTCTCTTTTACTTTGCATAGCATCAATTGGATGGATTTGATTGGTCATTAAACTTTTTTTCCCGTCATTGATTTTTTGTTTTTTGTTTTATCTTTCTGAGGTGTTGTTTTTGTTTTTTTTTTTCTCCCTTTTTTTTGCTCCAGGACCTCTTGCCCTCTTAAGCTTTGTACTTGATTCTTAACAGTATGAAGTATTTTTTTTCTTATAAAAAATGAGGAGTAGGCCTGGTAATAGATCTATTAAAGATAATAGTAATAAGTTAAGATTAGTATGAGAAAATAGCAATAAGTCGGGTTGATATTTATACTGACAAATAGATATCACCAAAATAAACTGTACGGTATTTTAACACATTTTTTGCTTAGTATAAATTGTTAATGAGCATAAATTTTTAGACATTTTGTTACATCTGATGTTCTTTTTATTAATGCCATTGAAATAAATTCTGGGCCGTATCTTTCTATATTATTTTTTTCCCATTGTAGTTTGGTGCTCCACTTACTTTTGTCATCTATGAGTCAACAAACTCACACATTGGTAAGTTGATCAATTTGATATTGTTATGTGCGCGAATGAGCATATTTTCTCAAGGATTTAGTCATGATCTTATTTACAATTTATTTCCCTTTTTGATTCCTTCAAGTTTCTGACTGTTTTCCTAATGATGCGTCCAGTTTGAACTCTCTTCTCAATTGTCGTTTATATCATTTGCCTTTATCTCTAGGTTGAATTTTAGCATTCTGTTAAATTTTGAATGGAATGAGATGCTTCAACAATTTCTAGAACCAGATCCTTATATGCATATTGATGTTTATTAATGTGAGATGTGTGGAAGAAATATTTATTGTACTAACATCGATAGGAAAAAGGTGATTACCTTGAATAGTCTATAATTGAATGTGGCCGGATTCTGTGCTATGAAACTTTTATATGTTTCATTTGTGCTTTTAGTAGATTATTCAGGCCATTGTTAAACTCTTCTTTATTTATTTATTTATTTTTGTATCCGTTTGTGGAGGGGTTTGCTTTTTCAAAGCTTTTAATCTTGTTCCTTGTATATTTAAAATCCCAATTTACATTTTTAAGGGCTACTCTTAGGAACCTATGCTATTGAAGGTTTTTTGACCGAGGTTATTAGGGGACTGTCACCATTCTACTCGCATTGCTTGCCTCTGTTTAGTTTGTAAAGGTATTTATTACCCTGTCTTTATTGCTGCATGTCATTCCTTCTGTGTCTTTATTTTAAGAGATTAATTTGTTGATTTTTATATCCGCTAGATGTGTATAAAATGGGATTGGGCGAGCAAGGACAAAGTAAACGCAATATTCTATGCAGAGATGTACTAAGCAGGAAGCATCGATAGCACCAACTTCCTCCCTCACGACAACGTCGTCTATCACACCCATCTCTCTCCGCTTGTCTCTGTCTTTGTGTTGTTTCTATCAAAACATTGTCGTTTAGTTCCTTACGTAAATGTAAAGTTCTCTCTTTTGCAGATGACACTCTCGGTGATGCCAATCTCGTCGGTGATCCTTATTGCACTCTCATCGTCACTCGCGTTTTTCACCAAACTATCTAGCACAAAATTTACACGGTTTTTCCTTTCCTCTCTTTCTTCTGTTTGTTTTCCGAGAAAATGTTGCTCCTGGTCATCTACTTTACGTAAAATGAAAATATTTTTGCTTTGTTTAGTAATTTCATTTGCGCTTAGTTAGGCACATTGGTAATTTTCTATTTCACATTCCTATTTATTTATTTATTTACTTATTCATCTATTATTTATTTATCTAGTTATCAATTTAATTAATCAAGTAATGTGTTGTTCAAGCTTGCTTTAAAAATCAAGAGTCATGATTTCATCACTTCTGTATTGTCAAAATGGTGTATTTTGCACTATGTTTTTAGAAATACTTGTTCTCTTCATCCCTAAGAAGGTTTCAACACGATTTGTAAAGCATAGGGGATAATTTAACACTATTTGTGAAACATAGAGAGTATGTGTCATGAAGCTTTCAGTAGGCTTTTTTCCAAGAAGGAGATGCGAATCCTAATGGTTGGTCTTGATGCTGCTGGTAAGACCACCATTCTCTACAAGGTCAAGCTTGGTGAGATCGTCACAACAATTTCAAACATTGGTGAGTTCGTCCTTCCATACTGAGTTGATGAGGATGCTCATTTGTTATGTTTTCTGTTTATGACCTATTTGTAACTTGAAAAATGATATCATAAATTAGTAAATTTTGATTTTCACGTAACAATATTCAAAAGCCAACTCATATAATTTGTGCGATGATTATTGGGTGCTGAGACATAATTGTTCCTAAATTGAAGTTTGAAGATATGTCTCTTCGTCATGATCTCAAAATATATTTGTTTTGGTTGTTGTTGCAAATGGATCATAAGCATTTTAAATCAAAAGCCAACTCATGTAATTTGTGTGGCGATTATTGGGTGTTGAGACATAATTGTTCCTAAATTGAAGTTTAAAGATATGCTTTTGGAATCACAATCTCATGGTATATCCATTTTGGTTGTTGCAAATGGATCTTAAGTACACCTTTTTGTTTACAGGTTTCAATGTGGAGAACATCAGCTTCACCGTTTGGGATGTTGGGGTCTGGACAAGGTATGAAATTTTAAAGCTTGTCTCCGCACTTTCTATGAGCCACAACATTATGTGCATGTTTTTACCCTAGGATTTGAGAACTTTGTGAACTTGATAGTTAAACATTGACTGTTGGCCTGTTGGCCATCCTTTTAATTTTCTATCACTTATATTTTTCCATTCCCTCCCATTTTCTTTCCTTCTTACCAAACAAAGTATGAAATCATTATTCACCACAAGAGTAAAGTGAAAACAGTTAACATGGCAACCACCAAAAATCTAACAACACAACAATAAATTCAATAAAGGTTAGGCTTTGTCATAATGCATCAGGAATCAGAGAAAACGTTTTTCCGTGGAGCAATGGCTCCCGTGAGATTTTTTTTTAAAACATGGCAACCACCAAAAATCTAACAACACAACAATAAATTCAATAAAGATTAGGCTTTGTCATAATGCATCAGGAATCAGAGAAAACGTTTTTCCGTGGAGCAATGGCTCCCGTGAGATTTTTTTTTTTAAAATTTTATCTCTAAGTTACATCTATGTTCATCTTCTATCTTTGTTATATGTCAATTGTTGTACTTTATGTTAAAATTTTCAATTAAAAAATGAATTTTTGATTATTTTCTTAGTGTCGTATAACTTTTTTATTTTTGATTTGTGTTTGTGTTAAAATTTCTTCTACTTAAGAAGAAATTGAATTTTGATTCTTTCCCTGACATTCTTCTTTTTATCTTAATTAATTTTTTTCATTTTCTAATTAGACAAAGAAAATCTTTACATATTTAGAAGTCTTAAAACGCCGGCCTCGCGTTTCATACCTAGAGAGGAATGGGGCGAAACATTACGTCCACATTTTTATTTATTTATTCTTTCATTGTCTACATTCGTTTCTGGGTTCTGTTTTGGTGCATTTCACCCTCTTTTCATGTTCCTTAACGCGTTTTTCACCACTGAGAGCTCTCTCTCTACCTCTCTCTCTCTCTAACATATCTTGCCCTTATCCTTGATTTAAGGCTGGGAAACCATCACTCTCGAGGTCCAGAGCAGCAGCACACCATCAACAATATCAAGGCCATGATGTAATATAAATTTCACTGTTTCAATTTGGGATTCTACTTGTTTGGATGGAAAATCATAGACGTAGTTTCGATTGAAATGGGATGTTGCGTGAGGGTTTGTAGAGGCTCTATTCCTGTTATTATGGCTAAGGCTCTATATTTTTCTGGTTTGAAATTTTTTGGGTTATTGTATATTATTTTTAGCTTCTGAGAGAGTTTCGTTGAAGTGTCTTTGGATTGAGAAAGTTTGTGAAAGACAGTTCTTTAGGTTGTTTAATTTTTATTCGATTTCTCAGTTTCTTTAATATGACTTGTGTATCTATCTATAGCTCTATTATTGTTCTTTTTTTTAGTATTAATGTCCTTTTATTTGTTTTCTAATATACAATTCTGGGTATTTGTTTTTTTTTTTTCTCTGCCCCTTCTCCTTGTTGAGCCATGGACCTTTCTTTTTCTTCCAGGTTTGTGCTTCTTCGTTCTCAGCTTTTTTTATTATGGGATTTTGTTTTGTTCTAGGTTTTGATTGTTGCTTTAATTGGGATCTTGTTAATTTTGCTTCTATCTTTGCTCGATTTTATCTTCTTGATGCTTGGTTTTTTTTTTTTTTCCTCGCTCTCGTTCCTTTTTTCTTGCTTTTTTTTAAATGTTTTAAGAAGTTAGGAATTTTGTTTGTTCTTTGTTTAGATTGTGGTTCTAATTTGGTTTCAGATTGTATTTGCCTGTTAAAATATGTAAAGATTTCTTTTCCGCAAATTCTGGAATTAGTCATTTACCTCCGTCGTCCTTAGCTTCATTCGGTTGAGATTTATCCGAGGTAACCTATCTGCTTCTCTTCTCAAAAAAAATTCTTCATGTTGTACTGTAGTTGACTAATTTACAATTCTATAGAAGTTCATCTTCTTTCATCTTACGGGCCTTTTTGTATGTGAATTCCATGGACATTGGTTATTAACTTTTAGGTTTATTTTTTAACTTTAAGGTTGACGTGGAAGCCATTGCTGAGTCAACTCAGATTGAGACTCAGTCCTTTTCTTTTTGTCAAGGGAAACTTTCTGTTTTGCACGTGGCTGCTGTAATTGATCAGATTGACGTGGGTTCACATTTCTTAATTGCTCTTTACTCTTGTCTTGGGATAGATTTTCTTTTCTATTTTTTTTT